TCCGATGAAGCTGATCTTGCCATCTTGAACGGCTAATGTAGTATGGAATTGTGCTTCGGATTGCGCTGTGGCGCTGTTGAAGAAGCGACCGTTGGTGAAGACAGTGATGTTTTGAGATCGAGACATGACTGGGTATTTGAGGCGGGAGGGTTTGTGTTGCGGAATGAGGGGTACAGTATCAGATGGGCATGCATCTCGAGTCTTAGATCCGATGCATCGCCGTAGCTGCCCCCACTTCTGAACGCCTTATCACCTCGCGCCCTACGCGCCTTGCCTTGATATTGATTCTCCCTCCCGATATCGCTTTGAGATTCGAGAAGGACTCGGATCGTTAAGCGCAGCCATGGCGACTACCACAGTGCATGTGCCGGACCAGACGACATACGAGGAAGCCCGAAATGGCGCCGCCGCTTATCTGCAGTCGCGACTCTCGGCGAAAGACCGTATTGCCGATGAGAACTTCGAGATACCTATTATCGATCTGACGCCTTCATTCTCTGCTTCTCTTGAGGATCGCCGAGTGGTTGCTGCGCAAATTCGTCGAGCCTGTACCAACTCTGGGTTCTTCTACATTAGCAATCATCGCATACCAGGATCAGCCTGTGACGGCATCTTGCATCAGGCTGATCGCTTCATGCATGAACTGCCGCTGAGCAAGAAAGAGACTTTGCATCTGAAGAACAACAAGTTTGGCTTGGGTTGGGAGCCGAGCGAGTATACATCCATCGCTGGTGATAAGGAGGAGAAGGAAGTCTTCAACTTCGCATACGAAGAGCGCCTAGACTTTTCTGGTGGCGATGGCGAATACAAGAATCTTGACGGGTCAACAGAGAAGAGCAACATGTGGCCTGATGAACAAGACCTGCTGGGCTTTTATGAAAACGTCCGTAAATACTATGGTGCTGTGAGTCGAATTCGCCAGAGGTGCTTATCACGTAGTAGGCAGACATGCTCACCGTTACTAGGTCCTTGATCTCGCCCGTCACTTGTTTCGCCTCTTTGCGCTCTCACTCGATCTCCCCGAAGATTACTTCGACTCCATGACGACGCACCCTGGGGGCATTGCACGACTTCTGTACTACCCGCCCCCCAAAACCCCTCTCATTGACAACCTTACGCCAACTCAAGAAGCGCAGATCGGCCTAGGTGCGCACTCAGATTACGAGTGCTTCACATTGCTGCTCGCATCGACCGTGCCCGGCCTTGAGATTCTGAAACCTTCTGGCGAATGGTATATCGCTCCGCACATCCCCGGTACCCTCATCGTGAATGTTGCCGACTTCCTCATGCGCTGGACGAATGGATTGTATAAGAGCACGGTGCATCGCGTTGTAAACCGGACCGCGGAGGCAAGATACAGCGTGCCCTTCTTCTTTTCAGTCAACTATGACACGGTGATTGAGACGTTGCCGACGTGCCTGAAAAAGGGCGAGGAGAGTCCCTACAAGCCAATCCGAGCGGGAGAATACATTCTGGAGAGGTTGAACGCGACGACGGCATATGGCGCAGGTTTCCAGCAGAAAGAGGAGTGATATTTGTAACACGAAATCTACATTCAGTCTTGCGATTGTGAGCAAAAGTGTGGGATTGTAGGGAGGCAAAGGACGCGACGCGTCGCGACATGCCGGCTAAATGACATCATTCGCGCTACTGTCGCAAGTAAGTTCCAGGGGCCCTCTCAACGCCTCGACGTGAACGTCTACATCAATAGCCCAGTATTCCCAACAATGTAGCGGCCTTAACCACTTGATGATGCACAAAATCCCGAACTACTAATCTTCCATTAGCAGCATAGTTCAGTTTGAGGCCCAGCTCAATTTGGGAATCTAGTTTCGCTCGAGTTCGTCCGGAAATTGTCCATCTTCGCCGCCCGATTCGAGATGATAACACTAAGCAGTGTTTCAACGTTCGTCTGAACGCATCTTCGGAATCTTTCTACGAAGAGCATCTTTATATGAATTTGGAGTCTTGTAGGACAATACGCGGAGATGCTTCTTCAGGGTCTAGTTCGCGAGGCAGCCAACTCCCGAGCTCAATCCCGTGCAGAACCTTGCTCGACCTGCCATATTAACACCTAGATGAACACGGCTTACTACTATCAGGTTGGTAGTTCCTGTTTTGGTGTCTCTCGCGTTTTCGACGAATGAGATGCGTCACTTTCGTGCTGATGCGACCGAGCCATCTTGGTGCTCAGTGGCCGACGCGCACAACGTCAACGAGACAGATACAAAAACCACCAAAACAAGTTCCAGAGAATTTCAAAACAGTTACCTACGTAAAGACGACTATAGCAATTCCCTATGCCAGCTGCGAAGCGTAGAAAGACCGGCGGTGCGGAGATGAAGGCGAAGAACAAGACCACCGAGCGAAAGCCGCTCCCAGTGACCGTTCTTTCCGGATTTCTGGTAATTAGCAGCTGGGAAATGTGAATGTTGAGACTGACAATACTAGGGCAGTGGAAAGACAACCTTGCTTCGGCACATCCTACAGTCGCCGGATCATGGATTGCGCATTGCCGTTATTGTCAACGACATGGCATCAGTCAACGTCGACGCAAACCTCGTTAGCCGTGGTAGCACCAAGAACAGTAACGGAGAGATACGTCTAAAGGAAAAGGTCGTGCAGATGGAGAATGGTGAGACATTGACCTACCAAATCCATTCAAGACGTACGCTGACTTCCGAATCAGGTTGCATCTGCTGCACATTGCGAAGCGACTTACTTGTTGAATTAGCACGTCTGGCTTGGTCCGAGAACGCATTTGACCATGTGATCATCGAGAGCTCCGGTATCAGTGAGCCACAACAAGTGGCGGAGACCTTCACGACCGAGCTTACTGAGGCAATGATCGACGCTGAGGGGCTGGAACCTGAGGAGAAGGAGGTCTTTGCTAAAGTGTAAGTCGAGCCCAAGGCGGTGGTACAATACAGTAGCTTACAAGTTTTCACAGCGCGAAGATCGGCGGGCTGAAGAGCATTGCGACCGTCGATACCATGGTCACCGTCGTGGATGCGTTCCGCTTCTTTTCCGAGTTCGACACGGCCGAGTTCCTACAAGACCGCTTCGGGCGCGATGAAGTCCCAGATGAGGACCAGCGAACCATATCCGATCTCTTCGCGGATCAAATCGAGTTTGCCAATGTTATCATCATCAACAAGATCGACAGAGCAGACAAGGCAACCCTGGGGCGCGTCCGAGCATACATCAAGTCACTAAACCCGAAGGCGAAGATCATTGAAGCCAGGTACTCCAAGGTGGACGTTCGCGAGATGCTCAATACGGGCGTGTTCAACTTCGGCGAGGCTGTCGCAAGCGTTGGATGGCTCCAGTCGTTGCATGAAATGACCGTCATGGACGTCTCGGGAAGAAAGCGTGTCGCACCGAAGCCGGAGACGCTCGAGTAGGTCACTCGGTACCGGAAGCCTCGCTCATACTGACATGGATTTAGATATGGCATCGGCTCTTTCGTATATCGCGCCCGCAGACCATTCGACCCAATGAAGCTGTACCGGCTTATCCAGGGCAAGTTCATCTTGCTGCAAGACGAGGCAGAAGACGTCGCCGATGCCGAAGAGGATGAGGAAGAAGAAGAGGAAGACGGTGATGATAGCAACGACAACGCCATCGATGGTTCATCCGAATCTGGAAAAGCCAGCGCGTCCGAAGATGATTCCGACAAGGTCAGCGACGACGATGAAGAAATTCCCCAAATGGATGACAAGGAAATCTTGGCCAACAAGAAGGCTTGCCCTTACTTCGGCGGCCTACACCGAAGCAAGGGTCTCTTCTGGCTCGCCACGCGTCCTAATCAGATGGGCTCGTGGAGTACTGCAGGCGCAATGCTGACACTCGGCTCTGAGATGCCGTGGTTCTGCTGCGTGTCTGAAGAAGACTGGGGCGCCGACGAAGACACGCTGAAGGCTATCAGGAACGACTTCGAGGGTGGTGAGTATCCCATTGTCGAAGTACTTGTGAGACATCTACTGACATCGCATGCCAACATTCAGAGTGGGGCGACCGTAGACAAGAGATGGTAAGGCATATCGCTGTACGAACTGCATGTGAGATGAATACTGACTTTGTACACCAACCTTTAGGTTTTCATCGGAGAGAAGCTTGACGTTGACGGGTTGACAAAGATGCTTGACGCTTGCCTTTTGACGAAAAAGGAGATGAAGAAGTGGGAGAAGGTCATGCACGACGACTCGTTGGACGATGACGAGAAGGAAGAAACTCTGCAGGAAATGTGGGACGACGGCTACTGGGCCGAGTGGCCGCGGGCGCAGGATGAAGAGGAAAACGACCATGGTCACGATCACTCTCATGACCACGGCCATCATCATCACGGCCACAGGCATTGATCGATGATATGGACGGTGGTGGTGTCCAGTTGCGGAAAGAGCAGGAAGCGCTAGTCATGACGTCATCGCGCGACAGCCATCCGACTGATCGGAGGACAACATGAAGGGTCTCCTCTTAGCTTCTTTCCTACATGCAATTGCTACTCGAACTTTTGTTCTATGATTAAACAATGTTATCTGCACCTTGTTAAGTTTTGAGATAATTGGTCACGGTGATCACGCCGTCAATCTGTGCGCCCATACCACAGGCTAGACCGGTTGCTGGTCCCCGCAACGCCTACCTCACGCTGCTGTTGCGTTGGTGAGTCGGTCTGCCCCAACGAATGTCCGCGTTTCGGAAAAATTATATTGATCTCTTCGCTGTCCCTCAATCCCCCAATCGTTATGTCCCTAAAGTGCTTTCCGGAAGCGGTCGCGGAGCCTCCCTCCGCTTCGAGAACGGCAGTCCTTCCCTTCAATTCTTCTTGGACAAGAAGCATATCTTATAAGGATGTCTTTTGTCGCCTGGTAATTTTCTTCAACACACCCTTCATCTCTGTATTTAGCATGTCGCTGCGTTCATTGCTAATCGGATTGACACTGGCCGGCCCAGGCTTTTCGTTGGTGTCGCAAGATGGACAGACAGGCCGCCTGCCAGCTATGGGCTGGAGCACATGGAACGAGTACGAATGCGCCATCAACGAGACCGTCATCCTGGAAGTCGCCGAACTTCTCATCTCTCTTGGTTTGAAAGACCTCGGCTACAATTATGTGAACATAGATGATTGTTGGTCCGACAAGTCTTACCAACGCGACAAGGTTACAGGAAGGATCCGTCCGGACTATGCTAAGTTTCCGGATGGTATCAAACATACAGCGGACGAGGTTCATAAGCTCGGGCTCAAAGTCGGCATCTACGGTGATGCTGGCGACACAACATGCGGTGGATATGCTGGCTCACTGGGACACGAGGAAGTAGATGCCAGGACCTTTGCCGATTGGGGCATCGACTGTAAGCTACATATACTGTACACGCCAATCCATTGCTTATCCTTACTAGACTTGAAGTACGACAACTGCGCCGTTGCTGATGAATGGGACGACGAGTACCGATGGTGGCCAGAGAATTGGCTAGGAGGTCCTCCCGCTGAAGATCAGAGCGCTGGCGGAGATGGTGAAGCTCGGCCGATCCCAGCGCCCGCGGGCTACGATTGGACGACCTCGAATAGCTTCACGCGTTACAAGACCATGAGTGATGCCCTCCTCGCAACAAATCGTACGATTGAATACTCGCAATGTGCCTGGGGCCATGCCCACATCGAGCAGTGGGGTAACGCGACTGGCCATAGCTGGCGCATGTGGGGAGACATCTACCCAGAGTGGTACGACAAACATCAGTATTCTTGGGGCATCATGCCAATCCTCAACCATGCCTCCTTCTTTAACAACGATACCGACTTCTGGGGTCATGGCGACTGGGACATGCTTGAAGTTGGCAATGGAAACCTCACCCTACAAGAGAGTCGATCTCACTTCGCCCTCTGGGCTGCTCTGAAGTCGCCTCTAATCATCGGGACCCCTCTTCACGGCATCGAGCCGAAAATCTTGGAGATTCTGAGCAACAAGGAGCTCATCGACTTCAATCAAGATTCAGTCTTTGGTGCTGCAGCCAAACCGTACAAGTGGGGTATCAACGCCGACTGGACTTGGAACCAAACGCATCCCGCTGAGTATTGGAGTGGGCGGTCTTCCAAAGGTGTGTATGTGTTTGCATTGAATACACTGAATGCGACACATACCAAGGCCATCGACTTCGCGGAGGTGCCCGAGTTGGATGCGGAGGCTGAATACACCGTGTTCGACTCATGGACTGGCAAAAAGCAGGGGAACTTCAAAGGACGGTACGAAGCAGTTGTTGAGTCGCATGACACCGCGATTATCCGACTCGTTGAGACGAGCGATGTTGAGTATGGCGCGTCGCACTATCAGCTGTGAGGACAACGCGACGGTTTACGCGAACCCGACGCGTCATGGTATTGTAGTATCGTCACTAGGGGTGGCTACAACTTCTGTCGCATGCTATAAAATGTTTGAGCTAGACATATCCATTGCCTTAAAGACTGTCTCGTTGTTGGAATTTGGTAGCACATATGCGACAAGGACTATGGCCACCCCTGGTGTTGTGTCGTTCTGATGACGTGTTCGGATAATTCATTCCGGGCAGGAACGCGTTGTTGCCGAGCCACCTTCGCGGCAGTCCCTTCTCTCCCTAACAACTCTACTTGCACAGCTTCTGACGCGCACAATCCGCACTTGAACTATCGATTCCTGAAACCGACGCTCTTCAGATAAGTGCGCCTCGTAGCACTCGACGCACGATGGAGCCCTATCACTACCGGCCACTAAAGCACCCCAGCGATATAAGGCTTCTTCATCTTCACTCAGCTGCGCACTTCGAAGACCCAATTCAGATCGAGGTAGACCACTGCGCAAGGCTGTCACCAGCTGCGAAATTAAGGTTCGACCTTGACGCTGCCTATCACGACGCCCAAAATGAATTAACAAAAGCACACAACGAGTTAGAAGCCGGCAAAACCTTTCAGCACTTTGCGAATCGCGATCTCGCGCGGTCGCGTACCGATGATACACATCATGCGAAAAGCCGGGCCCACGCCTATGAGGTTGCGAAGGCGAAATTCGAAGAGCATTCTACAAGTTACTTGGCGCGACGCGAAGAAGACGCTTCAGAAGCCACTAGATCACCCCGTTGGAATCCGCACTACGAGGCGATATCATACGCTTGTGGCATTGACATGACCACCGAGACGGTATCCGTCATGGAAGAAGATGGAGAACTCAAGTCACTTCGAGTGCGCCAAAACGTGGCCGACATGCTGCGGTATCTGCGAAGACCATCAATCTACCGTTTGCTCTGGATAGATTCAATTACCATCAATCAGGCCGATTTGGAAGAGAAAGAGAGCCAAGTCAAACAGATGGGAGCCATATATGCGGACGCTAGGCGTGTTGTGATCTGGCTGGGGCCACAGCGAGATAGCGAGCACTTGATTCACACCGACACCGGGGCTGGTCGTAGTAGTTTCCAAAGGTACAGACTGGAGCCTTCTCTGGGTCTCCTCAAACTCCCTTGGTTCCATCGTCGATGGGTTATTCAGGAGACTGGACTCGCGCCAGAAGCGATATTGACGCGTGGCACAAAGTCGATCGAGTTCCAAGAATTCGTGCGTCGCATTGAACGCCTACAGCGGCCATCCGACGCTGCTTCAACTGCATTCACACCCGATGACAGAGTAGTAGTCGATCGCCTCCGTGCTATGGCAAATCTACAAGCTTCAAGCCGAGGACAGTTTCTTCCCAGGGGGCTGATGGATCTCCTGCTCAGCTTTCCTGACGCAAAGTGCTCAGATGATCGCGATATACTTTACGCGTTCAGCAGTCTCAGTATAGCCCCGCTCCCCATCAGCTACCATATGACTGCCGAGGAACTCTACATGAATTTCGCCCACTTGGAAGCTATACAGAATCCGTCGATTCTATTGAGTGTTGCCGGTGCTCATCCCACATCGTCGAAGTTCCTACCTTCATGGACGCCTGACTGGCGTGCGCAGCCTATCTACGAACCAAACACCAATCGGAGTTTCGACAGTGCTTACAAACCCAAGATCAAATGCAACCAATTAATCATGCGCGACGGAAAAACTTTGAGCGTCATGGCAAAGCAAATGGACAAGGTCGCAAGAGTAAGCACGTCTCACACATTTGAGGCTTGGGCACGACTCTGCACTACTTACAATAGTGAACCCTCGATTGCCGAGAACATTCCAGAGCTCGATTTACTGAAGGCGCTGACACGTTCACGTGGCGGTCTCCCGAAACTGTCGTCCGATCAGCATGCTACACTTGTTCTGTATCTGGGTTCAAGTTCAAGTAATGACGAGCCACCGCCAAAATTTGTGGAGCGATTCATTACTGAGTCTGAAAAAGCCATGATTGGCAGAACGTGCTTCATCACTGCAGACGGCGCTATTGGTACGGGGCCAGAGCGGATAAAAGCAGGCGATGTTCTGCTTCGGATTCCTGACAGTCCTAGCTTCACTGCTCTGCGTCCACGATACCAGAGCGGTTCAATACAGCTTCAGCGCGAAGTAGAGCTCGATCCTGGGTCTAATCATGCGCCACCTTCTATCGATCTTCCTCCTGGCTTCTGTCATGAGTATACCGTGGTGGGCGACTGTCACGTTCCTCGGCTCGTTCGCACTGGTCCTGACCGATCTGCACTTGGTCTAGAGGACCTCACTCTCTTCAATATCATTTGATCTGTCAAGGTTACAATTCGATAGAATCTCGCTCGGAACTTCGCTACGTAGGCCTAGAAAAGGTTATGCGGCAGTGCATACAGCTACCGCCAGCAGCGCGTTTCAGCACGTGGCCTAGCCACTCCTAGTGGCTATGATTCTTGTCGCAATCTTCGGTCTTTCTTAAGGTGGAAGTATACATCGCCTTAAGAGGTACTTACATGTTGAGTTTTAAGGACGTGTATGCTACAAAATGCGATACCAAATGCGCCACAATCCTAGCCGCCCCTGATGTAGCTTCAGATCCGCGTTACGTCACTAGCGACCAATTCGCGCTTCCCAAGCAACTGAGAAGCGTGACCCATACTTGGAAGTCGGACACACGTGCGGGGTAATGTACACCTCGTATTGCTACATGTCTTTGGTGCAGCGAGACTACATCATGATGCATATCTTATGTTCCGAGGCTAAATGCGACAGGGTGTTCTACGGATCTTCTCCGGGCCAGGAAGTGTAGGCGAAGCTACTCGGCATGCGAGACCATGCAAGACATCAGGCAATGGGTACAAGATCTGCAAAGCAAAAAGTGTGAACTGAGCGTTGAATGCGGGGATCGTGCGCTATACCCAGAATGGGATTCGCAGTAGACAGGCATATTATCGTCCATCAATGAGAATCTTCATCGACGCAGGGCTGAAGCGACGATCCCAGGTACATAATCGTAGTGTTTTCCTGATATCTTCAGCCCCCATAGCGTATCATTTGGAGCTCAGAACTTACAGAAACAGGAATTAGTCCATATGCGAACTCTGGCGACCTTGACAGTCGCTTCAGGGCTCGCTCCCCTGGTAGCAGCAGGCGACGCACGCCTTTGGTACACAGCGCCCGCCGATTCTGATGCCTGGACAGATGCACTCCCAATAGGAAACGGGCGACTCGGTGCCATGGTATTCGGGATACCCGTACAAGAGCGCATACAGCTCAACGAAGAGACCATCTGGTCTGGTGGCCCTCGAGATCGTGTGAACGAAAACGCGTCCCAGACACTTTCGGATGTAAGAGACTTGCTCGCACGAGATCAGGCAGGCGAAGCGGAAAAGCTGGCGAACCTGGGTATGATGGGCACGCCCCAAAGCGTTAGGAACTACCAACCGCTTGGAGAAATGGAAGTCTACTTTGATGGTACTAGCGACTACGACAATACGACTTACGAACGATGGCTTGATCTCGAAACGGCAACGGCAGGGGTCAAATTCAGTGTCAATGATACACTATACGAGCGCGAGATGTTCGTGTCAACCCCAGACGACGTACTTGTACATCATTTACATGTCACCGGACCTGAGAAGCTCTCATTCCAGATCCGCGTACACAGACCACAGGACGGCTTGAACGAGGCATCTGATCAGGACTGGAACGCGAACGGAGTTGCATACATGACTGGAGGGACTGGCGGTGTTGATCCCATTATCTTCACATCCGCTTTGGCAGTCAATACCGATGGCAACATGAAGACGCTTGGCGAATTCATCGTCGTCGACAATGCCACAGAAGCAACGGCTTACTTTGCGGCTTCTACTTCGTACCGATCCAACGACACGCGCATGGCTGTGGACAGCACTATCCAGCGGGCTCGTCAATACACGTATGCCGAGCTTCGTCAGCGCCACATCGAAGATTATGCACCATTGTATAATGCCAGCGTCCTGGAGTTCACCGGATCAGACGCAAACGCTAGTAGCATTCCAACGGACGCGCGCATCAACGCAACCCGCGAAGGAGCTGTCGACCCAGGGCTAAGCGCTCTAGGATACAACTATGGCCGCTACCTGTTGATCGCATCGTCGCGCATTGGTAATTTACCGTCTAATCTCCAAGGTATCTGGAACAAAGAATTCATGCCGCAATGGGGCTCGAAGTATACCGTCAACATCAACCTCCAGATGAACTATTGGCCGGCGGAAGTCACTAGTCTGTCGAGCTTGCACACACCTTTGTTTGATCATCTGGATCTTATGCGAAAGGACGGCATGCGCACTTCCAAGAAGATGTACAACGCCTCCGGATGGATGTCCCACCATAACACCGATCTATGGGGTGATACTGCGCCTGTGGATCGCTATCTTCCGGCTACTTACTGGACATTGTCGTCTGGCTGGCTTGTTACCCATATACTCGAGCATTACTGGTATACAGGTGACAAGGACTTCTTAGCTTCCAGGCTGGATATCGTCGCCGGTGCTATTGAGTTTTACTTGGATACACTACAGCCATACAGCATCAATGGGACGGAATATCTCGTCACCAATCCTTCTGTGTCCCCAGAGAACAGTTACATCGCGGCAGATGGAAAGACGTACTATTTCGACATCGCGCCAACTTGCGATATCGAGATCCTCAACCAGCTCTTCACAAACTACCTCCGGGCGGTCAACACTTTTGATAACGGCACCGTCGGCTCGTCGTTCCTGCAACGAGTCCGAGACACTCAAGCGAAACTTCCGCCATATCGCTACTCAACGCGCTATCCGGGCACGCTGCAGGAGTGGATGCAGGACTACGAGCAAGCAGAACCAGGCCATCGCCACGTGAGCCACTTATACGCACTCTATCCAGGCACGCAGATCTTCCCACCAGGTGCGCCAGGCTACGACGCCAAGCTCTTCAACGCCGCGGCTGCTACACTCGCAGACCGTCTCTCTCATAACGGCGCTGGGACGGGATGGTCGCGCGCATGGACGATCAACTGGTACGCGCGCTTACAGAACAAGACAGCGCTGGCTGAGAATGTTTATCAGTTCTTCAACACCAGTGTGTACAATAACCTGATGGATGTTAATGAAGGCGTGTTCCAGATCGACGGCAATTTGGGCTTCGTGAGTGGTGTGGCGGAAGCGCTACTTCAGTCGCATATCGTGGATGAAGAGGGTGTACGGGAGGTCTGGCTCCTCCCCGTGTTGCCTGAGCAATGGAGCTCGGGAAGTGTGTCTGGACTAGTGGCTAGAGGTGGCTTCGTATTCGATTTGGAGTGGACAGATGGCAGGATTAGCAAGATGAAGATGATGAGTCGGGTTGGTGGTAGTGTGGTGGTCAAGTATGATGCTGGGTCAGGTAACAGCACGGTAGCTGGAGATGTTGTTACGGCTAGCGCTGGGGCGATTCGGGCAGTACCTGGTGGTAAGATGAGGTTGGATACTAAGGCGGACCAGATGATGGACTTTGAGTTCACGTGGTGAGCTTCGTGCTCGTACGTGGTAGGATCGCCTAGCTGGGAGCGCTAGCAAAGACGAATCATCTTCTCTATCTAGTATCGTATGCTTGAGAGATTGAACGATGTACACTTTCGATGGCGGATAAAGACGCGACAAAATCCTTGCGGTTGACGAAAGTGCGGGCAGCAGTAGATATGCGTCAAGAGCGTGATACGGGTGGTTCGTAAAATCATCCTTCGACTTACAATATTATGGTCACAAGTTATGGCGTATTCTCCTGGCTGTCGCAGCCAGCACGCGTTGAAGGATAAAGAAGGGTTGCAGGGTCCTCGAGGGATGCGCTAAGCCAAAGACAGGTGTAAAATGGAAAGCGCGCGGGCCTAGCGCGCAATCGCGAGGAAAGCGCGTCTGGTCCTTGTCCCCCTAGCGACAGCGTGTGTTTGCCCCTCTACAACCACCATTACGACTGACGATACGCACGATACACATAATGGCGGACAGACAGACTCCTTTCTCAATCAGCCTCTTTGGCAGCCAAGCCGGCGATGGGCCCGGGGATGCAGCTGCGCCCTCGCGCGTGCACCAAGCGCTTGTCGACTTTATTATGGACTTTACCCTCGACAACATCTTCGTCTACAGGTATGACAGGCAGTCGCACGTGCCATATGCAGTCGTCTAACCGTTTGCAGAGATCAAATTCGCGAGAATGTTCTCTTGAAGCAATACTACTGCGACATTGACGTCGCGCATCTGATCAGCTACAGCCCAGAGCTTGCACATGATCTCAGGCAAAACCCGGCAGAGATCATACCCCTCGTACGTTGTGCAGTCTGAATTTGTGGGCGCATGCTAATGGCTCCCAGTTCGAGTCGGCATTGAAGGCGTGCACACAGCGCATCGTCTACCCCTCACAAAAGAACATCCAGCTCCCAGAACACCAGCTGCTACTCCACTCGAACGCCTCAGAACTCTCCATTCGCGATCTGACCGCGACCAACGTCTCGCAACTCGTCCGTATACCCGGTATCATCATCGGCGCGTCTACGCTTTCGTCCAAATCTACCGCACTCGCTATACGATGCAGGAATTGCCAGCACGAAGAGATCCTTCCCGTATCGGGTGGCTTCTCCGGTGTCTCCCTGCCAAGGACGTGTGGCAGAAAGAAGGGAGAGGGCGAGCAGGGAGAACAATGCCCGCTGGACCCTTACTATGTCATGCACGAGCGCTGCCAGTTCATTGACCAGCAGGTGCTCAAGCTGCAAGAAGCGCCCGATCAGGTTCCGGTCGGTGAGCTACCACGACACATTATGATCTCCGCAGACCGATATATGGCCAATCGCGTCGTCCCGGGTACACGGTGCTCGGTAATGGGTGTCTTCTCTATCTACCAGCAGAAGGGCTCGAGGCGTGCAGGCAACGCCGCAGTAGCCATTCGCAACCCATACATACGCGCTGTCGGCATACACGCCGAGGTGGACCACGGCAGCAAAGGCAACGCCGTCTTTACTGAGGAGGAAGAGCAAGAGTTCCTGGAGATGAGCAGGAGGCCCGACATCTATGAAGTCTTCGCACGCTGCATCGCACCCTCTATCTACGGAAACCAGGACATCAAGAAGGCCATTGCTTGCTTACTGATGGGTGGCGCAAAGAAGATCCTGCCGGACGGGATGAAGCTGCGTGGAGACATTAACGTACTACTCCTCGGTGACCCCGGTACCGCCAAATCTCAACTCTTGAAGTTCGTCGAGAAAGTGTCACCCATTGCCATCTATACCTCAGGAAAAGGATCTTCGGCAGCTGGTTTGACAG